CTTTTTTTTTTTTTTAAAAGATGACCGGTAAGGGGATCTTAACCCTTGACTTGGTGTTGTCAGCACCACGCTCTCCCAGTGAGCAAACCGGCCATCCCTATATAGGGATCTGAACCCATGGCCTGGTGTTATCAGCACCGCACTCTCCCGAGTGAGCCACAGGCTGGCCCAAAATATTCTTTGATAATCCTTCATTCATAAACACTGCCATGGGTGATCTGGGCATATCCCCCCAGACTACCTTCTAAAAATGTATAAACATATACAGATATGATACAAGAATACTTCAAACAGTTCATGGAAAAATAAAATTAAAAGATAATATGAATCTTTCCATGAACTTTTTGAAGGAAAAAGTACAAGGAAAACTTTGTGCTTTTCTGTAACATAATTTTTTGCATATACTCTGTAAACACTTCATTGTGTGTGTGTGTGTGTATGCTCATGTGCTTCATCAAAAGGCTGTACCATAATTTAACAAACTCCTAGAACCAAACATTATCAAGTCTTGCCATTAGAAACTGCCACTGTGGTGATCTATCTCACTTGAGGGTACAGTTTCATGCTTTTTACCAATAACTTCATTAAGTTACTCTGAATTAATAATTATAACTATCCTGTTTTAAAAAGATTACTTTCTCCCCTGCCCCACATTCTGCCCAGGTACTAAATATTAATTAACACCCTCACATGCAAGACCACCCACCTTTCTCCATTCTCATGCCATCATATGCAAGCATATGATATACACACATATGGGAGAGGTGACTGTTGTGTGGTTCTCCATATCTTACTTTTCCAAATGTTTAAATATTGTCAATTGTGCTGGATATTCCATTTGCCCATTCAAATCTCTCCCCTCCCGGCCCTGCTCTGTGACTCAGTTCCCATTGCTTTCAGCCAACCAGAGGCTCTGGGGGGAGATGAGACAGAGAGAGAGGTGGAGTATTTATCCCCTGGCTCCCTCCTGGCCAGATACTGGTTTAGCAGCAGCTGTGTCCCCCTATGGAAGGCTCCTGTTTGGTGGCTACAACTCTCTCTAGGCTCCCAAACTGCTTCCTTCCCTTGCCCCTTTAGATATCGGGTAGTAATGAACCCCCCATGCTTGCCAGCCCCAGGGGGCTTCATCATCCCTTATTTGCTCCCTTAACATTGCCCATGACTTTGTTAATAGCCCCTTCATTACACATGCCTCAGATATCCTTCTAAGGATGCCAGCTGTTTCATGATGGAGCCCTGAACTGATTCAGCAACTAATTAAAAATTCTTAAAAACTCTCAACGAGCCAAGTCACACAAATCCACCACTATTTTGAACCTTGGAGTCCAGCCCCTTGTTTGATAGATGCAGGTACTGAGGAGAAGAGAAGAAAACTGACTTGTCTGCCCCACTCCTAGGCCAGGGCTGAGATGAAACGTGGGAAGTCTGGTGAGTCGTTCTTCAGCTGGGCGGTGTAAATCAGCACCAACCAGCTCTTGCTAGGGCAGTTCTAGCTCCCTGGCTCCACTTTCCGATTGCACACCTCTGGGCTTTCCTCTGTTTTTATTTTATTTTTTTTAAAGATGACCGGTAAGGGGATCTTAACCCTTGACTTGGTGTTGTCAGCACCACGCTCACCCAGTGAGCCAACCGGTCATCACTATATATAGGGATCCGAACCCGTGGCCTTGGTGTTATCAGCACTGCACTCTCCTGAGTGAGCCACGGGCCGGCCCTTGCTTTCCTCTGTTCTGAAGTGAAGATGAACAAGAGACGGATGTTTGAAAGAGGCAGACAACTTACGCTCTAGATTTTGGCAGGTTTCTGAAACAAAGACTTTGTTGGGCCACCTATGGCCACTGCAGGTAAGATGAACCAGAACAACCAGAAAAGGAAGGGGCAACGATTGTTCTCAGCCTGCTCCCCTGCAGTCCTCAAAACACTCTGCCAAACATTTAAACATAAACAAGCTGGTCCACATTCTCTAAGAGACAAACTTAAGACAAACAGGGAAACGTGCACTTCACTATCAAGTGGAAAGTGTAGAAAACAGCCTAGCTTTGGGCAGGTCAGAGATGATTTCCAGGGGGGGTAATGTTCGAGCTAGATCTTAAAGCAGGAGCTGGAGTTAGCCTGGCCTGAGATGGTGTTCTAGGGAAGGGATAAGCAGGTGCTAAGACCCAGTGCTAAGAGAACAAGCAGTGAATGTGCCAGAAACTGCTAGAAGTTCAGGAGGCCTGGAACATAAGCTGTGTGTGTGTTTTTTTACTGGAGGGAGGGGGGAATGTAGGGATGGAGGGGCGTCTAAAGGCAAGCAGAGGTCAGAGGCTCTTGAAGGCCAAGAGAAGGGCACTGGAAAGCCATTAAAAGCTTTTAAGCAGCAGAGTGACAATGTCCCTCTTTGGAAACGTGATTCTGGCTGCTGTGGAGAATGGCTTAAAGGGGGCAACCTGAGACCAGTTCAGGGGCTGCTGCAATCAGGAGAAAGATTGTGGTGCCAGGGGCAAGAGTAGAGGTGGAGGTGATGGTTGGATTTGAGAGCTATGAAGGCAGCAGAAGGGACAAGATCTAGGTTTATTATAATAATGACAACAATATTGACAGTAACATAATACAGTGACTTAAACAGTAGCTCTGGTTTCAGACTGCATGGCTGGGAATCTTCTCCCTGCCCTTTTTATTTAGAAAAATGTCAAACCTCAGAAGAGTTGCAAGATAGTTTCCGTGAACAGCTATATATCTTTCACTTAGATTTACCACTTGTTACATTTGGCCTCTCCCTCCCCCTCTGTTATCTTTTTTTTTCTGAATCACTTGCAAGTTAGTTGCAGAAATCTTGATACCACACCTCTAAATATTTCAGCATTTATCTCCTTTGAATAAGGAGATACTCATATAATTACAATACCATCATCTTACTGAGGAAATTTAACATTGATACATTATAATTTAATGTAAAATTCATATTCAGATTTCACCAATTGGTCCAATAATGTCTTTTAAAGCGGCTGTTTTTCATTAAAAAAAAAAAAAAAAAAAAAAAAAAAAAAAAAAAAAAAAACAAATCCAGTATCCAGTCAAGGATCCTGTATTGCATTTAGTTATTGTGTCTCTTTTCTTTTTTTGGTCAATGTTAGAAATGTTAGCTTATTTATAAGAGATAATTGAATGAAATACAGGAGGCCCAATGTACTCAATTCTACTTTTTTTTTGTATAAAGATTACGTTTTAGCTTATTTTGAAATGAGATCAAACTTACAAAAAATGTTGCAAAGATAGTATAAAGAATGTTCATATGTTTTACCTAGAGTCATCAATTATTTACATTTTGCCACACTTTTTCATTTTATCTACTAACATATATTTGTATATATATATATTTTTTTTTCTTTCTCTTTTTTTTTTTGTGGCTAGCTGTTATGGGGATTGAACTCTGGACCTTGGTGTTATTAGCACCATGCTCTAACCAACTCAGCTAACCGGCCAGACCTAAAGACATCATCTTACATGTCCACAGTACAAGTATCAAAATCAGGAAACTTAACATTGGCTGGCTGGTTAGCTCAGTCAGTTAGAGCATGGTGTTATAACACCAAGGTCAGGGGTTCAGATCCCCACAGGGCCAGCCACACACACTATACTGTGTTCAAATTTCCCCAACCGTCCCCAAAATATCCCTTGTAACTTTCTTATTGGGGGGGGGAGGGTAGAACCAAGATCCAATCAAAGATCACACGTTGCAATTTGTTGTTGAATCTCTTTAGTTTTTATTTTATTTTATTTTTTGGTGGCTGGTGGGTATGGGGATCCAAACTCTTGATCTTGGTGTTACCAATACCACTCTCTAACCAAGTAAGCTAACCAGGCAGACTTACACTCCTACCCCCCATGTATTTCATAACATTGACCTTTTTGAAGACTTCAGGCCAGTTGTTTTGCAGAATGTCCCTCAATTTGAATTTGTCTGTTTTCCTATGGTTGGATTCAGGGCAAACATGCTTGAACACTACCTAGGTTAGGTTGTGTCCTTTTCAATGCAAAATATTAGGGGCACATGCTAAAACCTTAAGTTTGATCGTTTGGTTAAGCTGTAACTTTGGCTTCACATTTTGCTAGTTGAGCAAGTCGGTTATTGAGATGGTTTTCTCAGCTGTCTAATGAGGATAATAATAATCCTGGTTTCATGAGGCTGTTGAATTAATGTGGGGGTACTTCAAAAAGTTCATGGAAAGGTTCATATTTTTTGTTTTTCCACCAACTTTCTGAAATACCCATGTACGTGTAAGACACTTAGAGCAATGTTTGGCACATTGTATTTGATAAATAAATTACTATGATTACTATCATCACTACTATTTTTACTAGAACTTATAGAAACCTTAATATGTGAGAGGCACTGAGCCCAGGGCTTCACAATTCTTCATATTGCCAGCACCTAGGACAGTGTATAGCACATAGAAAGTAGTCAATGAGAATTTGTTGATAGAAGGACATCTCTTAGAGATAGACTGCTATCAATATATTGCACCATTTCACAGATGAGGAAACTGAGGCTCAGAGAAGTGAAGTAATTTATCTAATGTCACACAGATTGCAGTAAGTGGCAAGAGCCTGGATTTGAACCCAGGTTTATAGGGTTTATTAAATGAGGGATAAGGAGCCTGAATATGTTGCATAAAAATCCTCAAGGGCAAAAAAAAAAAAGCAAACCCAAAACCAAAAAGCTGAAAGGATATTAAAAAAAAATCCTCAAGGGGTATGTAGATGTGAAGAATTGAACTGCGGGGTCACGCAGAGTTCTCTGGCACATACATACTGTAGGTGCTCAATAAATGTTTGTTGAACGAACGAGGAAAGAAAATGAGTCAGCTAGGGAGAGATCATCCCCATCTCTACCTCCCCACGGTACTTCTGCCGGGTCACCACAGGCCCACAGGTTCGAGGAGGGTGTGGCTTCCGGTGACTCCGCCCCTCGGCGAAAGCCTAGTCCCTCGCTTCTCCTAGTCGCGAACGGCTTCGGTGTTTTGGCTTGCGGGCGGAGCCGTAGTCACAGCCTCCTCCGGCGTCAGTAGCCGGGAAGCCGGGTGTCCAAACTCCCCGGTAGAGGTCCACGATGTCAGAGAAAGAAGCCAGGCGGAGCGGAGGCCCGTCGCGGGCCGGTGTGGTGACTGTCGGCGACGTCCAGGAGCTAATGCGGCGCAAGGAGGAGATCGAGGCGCAGATCCAGGCCAATTATGACGTCCTGGAGAGCGTGAGTGTGGCCTCGGGGCCCCCGGGCAGGCGTGGGGGGCTGCCCAGGGCCTCCTGACTTGGCCCCCAGATCCGGGAGGACTGGGAGGCCAGGACGGGCTCCGCTTGGGAGCTCAGCTATGGTTTTTTTTTTTTACTCCCTGGGAGGCCCAAGACGCCTCAACTGCGGCCTCTGTCGGCAGCAGGCAGTGCAGGCAGAGGACGTTAACTAATACAGGACTGGCTTCTAGCAAGCGTTTATGGAGCCTTTACTGTGCTAGGCGCTGGCATGAGTGCTTTATATTCGCTAACTCATTAAATCCTCGCAACAACACTTTGAGGTGGATATGCTGTTATTTTCTCCACTTTAGGGAAGAGTAAACTGAGTTGTTACTTAACTTAAACCTGCCTAAGGTCACAAAGCTAATATGTTTGCAGAGACAGGGAGATAATCACCACCACCATGGATCCTTATTGAACGTTTACTAGTGTCATGTGCTTTGCTAACTACTGCCCATCAGAGCTTCTTAAACTTTTAGTGTGTATGTGACTCACCCCGGGATATTGTTAAAATACAGATTCTGATTGGGGCAGGGGTCAAATTCTGCATTAATAGCAAACTCCCAGCGATGCTGATGCCAGTGGTCTAAAGACCGTGCTTTAGTGACAGGTAAGGCGCGTTATCCTTATTGTAAGAGGAGGAAACCGAGGCACAGAGTGGGGCAAACCCTTGCCTAGGGTCATATAGTTAGGAAGTGGCAGCGGTGGGTCTGGTTCCCAAATCTGTCTGGCTCCAAAGCTGATACAAATTTTCTTATGCCATCTAGTGTGAAACCACAAATCAATTTGCAGAGGAAGAGTAAATTAATTACACCCAAATAGGGTGGGATGGAATGCATTTTAGGTGATGGGAGTAAGGTGAAGTATTATATGGAGGCCAGGAAACCCTTTTACTGGGTGCTGACTATATGCCCGAAGGGTGCTGGTTTGTGTGTATGTTATGTAATGAAATCCTCACAACTACCCTGTAAAGTTGGTATGTGCCTCTGAAGCTCAGAAAGGGGAAGTCACTTGCTCAAAGTCAGAAAGTGAGATTCAGACCTCAGGCCTGTTTAATCCATAATCAGTGCTTTGAAGTAGGTTGCCAGAAGTTTCTCAAACTTTAGTTACTTTTCTCCTACAAGCAGGATGTTATACAGTATCCATATGCCTTTTGTACTGTTATTCTCTTGATATTTTTCTTTAAGTTGACCCACTCTTTTACTTCCATAAATTTATCTTAAAAGGAAATTTTATAACTCCAGTGTATATGGAAAATAAGAATCTCTTCCCTTAAATATAAGGTAGAAATGCTTATCAAGGTGTTACAATATGGTGAGTGCTTCTAGCTAGCTACTGTTGCTAGTTGAAGGCTTTAAGCCTGTTCTATGTTTGTTTAAAAAAAAAAAAGTGGAGAGCCACAACTATGAATCTTTTAGAATAAAGCATAGGAGTAAATCTTTGTGACCTTGAATTAGGCAAAGCCTTCTTAGATATGGCACCAAAAGCAAAAGCTACAAAAGAAAAAATGATACATTGGATTTCAAAATTAAAAACTTGTCTTTCAAAGGACACAGTTGAGAAAGTGAAAAGACGAGCCACAGAATGGGAGAAAATATTTGCAAATCACGTACCTGAAAAGGGGCTAGTATGTAGAATTTAGTAAGAGCTCTTACAACTCTATAATAAAAAGACAACCCTATTAAAAAATAGACAAAGGATCTGAATAGACATTTCTTCAAAGAAAATATGGTCAGTACAAATGGTCAATAAGCACACGAAAAGATGCTGAACATTATTAGCCTTTTAGGGAAATGCAAATCAAAACTGCAGTGAGATACCACTTCACACCCTCAGGGATGGCTGTAATCACAAAGACTGGTAATAACAAGTATTAGGGAAGACATGGAGAAACTGGAACCCTCCAGCATTGCTGATGGGAATGTAAATTGGTGCAGCCGCTGTGGCAAACAGTGTGGCAGTTCCTCAAAAGGTTAAACACAGAGTTACCATATAATCCAGCAATTCTGTTCCTAGCTGTATTCCCAAGAGAACTGAAAACATATGTCCATACAAAAACTTGTATCGAAATCTTTATAGCAAAATTGTTCACAATAGCCAGGAAGTAGAAACAACCCAAATATCTACAACTTATAAAGTGTGGTATATCAATATAATGGGATATTATTCAGCAATAAAAAGGAATGAAATATTGGTACATGCTATAACATGAATAAACCTTGAAAACATTATGCTGAGTGAAAGAAGTTAGTCACAAAAGACCACATATTGTATGATTCCATTTATGTGAAACGTCCAGAATAGGCCAATGCAGAGAGATAGAAAGTAGTTTACTGGTTGCCAGGTTATGGGGGAAGTGGGGAATGGGAGTGACTGCTGTTGAGAATGAGGTTTCTTTTTGGGGGTGAGTGTGTACTAAAACTAGTTGCAGTGGTGGTTGCACAACTCTGTGAGTAGACTAAAAGCCATTGACTTGTACAATTTAAATGGGTCAATTATATTGTATGTGAATTGTATCTTAATAGAACTGTTTTTAAAATGGAGGGGCCCAGAGATAGCAAGTAACTCTGGGTGTGTTGTAAAGACCAGCACTGAATGGGGACTTTCTCTTTGATCATTGAAGGATTAAAAACAACTAGAAAAGAAATAAGTATTTTAGATTCAGGGTTATTTAATGCCCTGTGTGTGAGCCGCCTGTGGTATGAGTCCCACACTTTGGGAAGCAGTATCTTATGTGGTATTGATTCTCAAAGGCCAGGCAACTCAGTCTTTGTGGGAAGGCAGGAGATAGATGCAGGTATTTAACCCTTGGCACATGTATGGAGAATCTATAGAGTCCTGTGCTAAGGGTATATGTAGAACCCTTTCCCCCCAACACGAGATGGTAGGCTTGAGTGTAACTCAGAGGCTTCCAGAGAGAAAGGGAGAAAAGTGAATGGAATTCCTCTTCTCAGTGCCTGTGTACACTGGGCAGCTTGTACCTGGACTGACTAATAATTACAGACACCATTTATTACTTTCTATGCATAGTAGTTTCCTAGGGCCACCATAACAAATTGCGACAAACTCGGTGGCTTAAAACAACAGAAACTTACTCTCTCACAGTCCCGGAGGTGAGAAGTCTGAAATCCAGGTGTCGGCAGGGTTGGCTCCTTTTGGAGGCTGTGAGGGAGAATCTGGTCCATGCTTCTCTCCTAACTTACGGTGGCTGCCGGCAGTCCTTGGCTCGTAGCTGTGTGACTTCAGTCTCTGCCTCCATCTTCACATGGGCGTCTTTCTCTGTCTCTCTGTCCCAAGTCTCCCTTTGCCTTTTTTTAATAAGGACATTGGTTACTGGATTTAGGGCCCACCCTAAATCCAAGATGATCATATCTCAAGATCCTCAATTACATCTGCAAAGACCTTTTTTCCAAATAAGGTCACAGTCATAGGTTCTGAAGATTAGGATATGGACATATCTTTTGGGGGCCACCATTCAACCCACTACACTATGTATGTGCGGGGCACTGTGCTAAGCACTCTACTTATGTCAACTCATTAGTCGTAGCAATAGGTAGTAAGGGAGATGAGTGCTATTCCTCCCATTTTATAATTGAGGAAGCTGAGGCTTAGAAAAGGGAAGGTCTGAGCCAAGGATACCCAGTTTGTACAAATCAAAGTCTAACGAACAGCAAAGCCCCTGCCCTACACCATGTGATGTGTTTCATTGCTTTTGTGCACTGTCTTCTGACTTACGTAGGAAAAGACTTTAAAATGTTAGGACAGATGTATTGTTTTGAATAGGGAATATATTCCCATAGTCAAAGTTCAAAACATACAAAAGGATATGAAATGAAAAGTCTCTCTCCCTCCCCTGTCCCCAGCCACCCAATTCCTCTCCCTGGAGGCAATCAGTGATATCAGTGTATCCTTCCAGGGATGAAGAGCTTCTTTGAAAACGCTTTTAGATCTTTTTATTTTCAGAAGAATCAAAACCCTGCCACAGCTGGATGCTCTTTGGAGTTTTCACTCCCCTCCAGCTTCCAAGGCCACCTGCCAGGTGTCACCTGCCCATAAGAAGGAGGGTTTGGAGAAGCTGAGGAAGAGACTGGCCTTGGGATGATGCTCAAAGGACTCTTTGGTTTTATCTGCACTGTTCTAACCTTGAAAAAGGAAAATGTATGTGTGCATTACTTGTGTTGTTAAAGATTCATTTAAACAATAGTGCCCACCTCAGGTAGTTGTGAGAAGATGTGGGTAAAGTGTCTGGTCTGTGCTAAATGATCAATATGTGGCAATTTTCATTACTGCTGCCTTTATTATGACTGTGAAGGAAAAAGGTCTGGAGATGTTACACCTGTTAATTCTTGTTAAACCATGTTTCTTCTTTCCAGCAAAAAGGAGTTGGGATGAACGAGCCGTTGGTGGACCTCGAGGGCTACCCCCGCTCAGATGTGGATCTGTACCAAGTTCGCACTGCAAGGCACAACATCATCTGTGAGTGGCCCTCAGGGGACTGTCCCCCACCTTGGAGGTGGGGGGTGCTGAAGGCACACAGATGAAATCACCAATATTTGATACTATCTGCTGCCCTCTCTTCTGCCTTGATGGGATTATCTCATTGTCCCCGTCAAGGTACTGAGAACCAGGAGAATGGGTTCCATATTCGTGGTTTCACTTTTTCATTTTGTTTTTAAGAACTTCATTTCATTGTGGAAATTTTATTGAAATAACAACAGAAACCCAAGTCCAATATTGCTTACAGTCCATATCTAATCCATTATGTGTGTGTTAGGAAATAGGTTCAGCTGTTCATGATATGATCTGACTATGGTCACTCAAACATAAAAGATACAAAATGTCTCTTAGTAGGGACCCTTGGAGGTAAGCAGTGCAGGGCTGGTCAGCAGAAACTCAGGCTGTATGTCCGTGTTCAGGGGCACAGTGCATGTTCCAGGCGGGAGGAAAAGGAAGGAAGAAGGTAGGAAGAGCAAAAGGTCCTATGCCAGCTAGAACCCCCTTTTAAGGATCTTTCCTGCAAGTTCTACCCCTACCCCGTGTGTCATTTTTTTTTGCTTTTCCCTCATAGGCTCTTCCGCCTGTAAGAAAAGCTGGGGAATGTACTACACTCCTATGTCATTATCCTATATAAAATCTTTTATGTATTTTTATTCGTTTTTAACTAAGGAACTAGCAGAGAGTAGAAGTTGGGTATATCAGCTTTCGGTTTCTGCCATGACAAATGACAGCGGACCTAGTGGCTTAAAACAACACAAATTTATTATCTTTCAGGTCTGGAGAAGTCCAAAGGGGGTCTCAATGGACTAAAATCAAGGCGTCAGCAGGGCTGGCTCCTTCTGGAAGGTCTAGGAGAAAACCTGTTTCCATGCCTTTTCCAGATTCTAGAGGCTGCCCACATTTCTTGGCTCCTGGCCCTCTTCTATCTTCAAAGCCAGTGGTCTCATCTCTCCAGTCTCAGATTCTGTCATCACATCTCTTTCCCTCACCCTCCTGCCCCCCTCTTTCATTTACAACAACCTCTGTGATGACATTGGGCCCACCTGGATAATCCAAGATAATATTCCTGTCTCAAGGTCCTCAATTTACTCACACCTGCAAAGTCCCTTTTGCCATGTAAGGTCACATATTCAGAGGTTCTGGGGATTAGGACATGTCCTTGGGTGCCATTATTCACCCTACTATAGATAGCAGCTAGCAGTCTCTATCACAAAGTTGAATTAGAAGAGAATTTATCATACTCATTTTTCAGTTAATGATTTCTTTTTTTTTAATTGAAGAACAATGTGTTTTCTTTTTTTCTAAAAACTTAATTTATTTATTATTATTTTATATTCTAAGATGTGGAGCAGTTGGTGGGGAGGGGGAGAAGGGAAAGGGAGGGAGATAGGGTGGGAGAAGGAAGAAGCAGGGGCATGGTCGAGGCCTGTAGCACCCCCCTCATTCCAGCAGGGGAGCCCAGGGGGCTTCTGGCAGCAGCTTGGTCGTGGCTGGACTGGATGTGGATGTGGGGGGGGTGGTCAAGGCCCTTGGCCCCTCCTGCTCTGGCTCAGGAGCCCAGGGAGCTTCTCGTGGTGGCCTGGTGGTTGTCGCTGGGCTGGATGCAGATATCAGGGGTGTGTGGCTGAGGCCCTTGGCCCTCCACCACCCCAACTTGGGAGCCCCGGGGGCTTCTGGTCCTTCTAGGTTTTATAGGTGTTTTTTTTTTAAGATGACTGGAAAGGGGATCTTGACCCTTGACTTGATGTTGTCAGCACCATGGTCTCCAAGTGAGTGAACCAGCCATCCCTATATAGGGATCTGAACCCACAGCCTTGGTGTTATCGGCACCACACTCTCCCGACTGAGACACGGAGCTGGCCCTATAGGTGTTCTTTGATGGTGTTAGACCTTTACTGGTTAATATCAGAAGTTTGTCTCTGATCTGTGAGTTTTTTGTTTTTTCTTTCAGTTCTGTGTTGGATTATTCGCTATTCCCACCACTTAAACTCTGCACTGGAACTAATTTGTTGTCCTTTGCTTACTTATAAAATGGGGGAACTTCCTGTGGGAACCAGCACTTGAGCCCTGTGGTTGAGCTAAATTGTTTCTTTGCTGCTGATTCTCTGGGGAAGTCTTTTTGTGCAGCTCAGGTTTTAATTGTTGACCTGGTAAGCACTTCTGGGTCTTGTGAGATCCGGTACACCTGGGTTGTGTGGAAACTCTGGTCTGAGCCTGCGTCTTTTCAGCAAACTGCACCCCCTGCAGTTCTGTATTCCTGACCAGTCTCCATTGAGTGGGCCTGTGCTGATTGGAGGGCAGATCAGCTGTCCATGCTATGCCCCAATGTTCCCCCAGTGGGCCCATCTCCGCCCATACTCCAAACACTTCCCACAGGATGGGCCATGTGCTGGTCCCTTGGGATGATTCACTGGCCTCTGAATGGCTCCTTTTATGAGTTGTCTATGGCTCCTTGCTCCTATATGGGTCCACGGGAGCCCTGTTGGTGGTCTTGCTGGCCTAGGGTCCGCCAAGGTCCTCTTCTCCCTTGCAGTCTCCAAGCAACTTCATACAAAGAGCACAGCATTGGCTTTTGCCAGCTCTTGCTCTATGTGCTCACCGTGGCCAGCCGTGAAATGGCTGGGGCTCCAAATGGTTGAAGGAGCAGTCCCTTCCTTCTCTCATCATGGCTTCTCCTGCCTTCACGAACTCTGTAGGTCTCTCCTGCTCTTCCCCTGAGCTCTAGTGGCCCTAGCTTGGCAGTTGTTACTTTTTAATAATTGTAAATTTGTTGATTGTGGGAGAGAGTGACACTGGGGACTGTCTATTCCGCCATTTTGATATGAAGTCTGATTTTAATCTGTTTATACCTTGTCCTTCTGCAGCATGTTTTGATATAAGGATATGCTTCTCAAACTGGGGTCCAGGTAAACCCTAGGGTGGGGTACAGCTTATGATGCCAAAGTTTCCTCAGAGCCACAGTATGATTATAGAGCAGCTTCTCAGAGCATTACTTTTCCATGAAGATTTGGGGAAAAGAAATGTTTCATTGTTACATTGGGGAAAACCATGTTAGGACAATCAAGCTTGAGGGAAGTTTGGGGCGTTTGGCTAAACTTGTAGACTCCGCGCAGATGTAGCCCACTTGTTTCCACAGTTAGGAGGACTCTGGGGGAAATTTGACAAGTGCTGGGCTGCAGTGTGAGGGAGGGCGCTGACTTATTTTTCTCTAAAAGGTTAGCCTGATGTCCCAGTGTCATTTATATAATAGTCCATTCTTTCCCCACTAATCAATGCTGGCAGTATTACATATTAAGTTTTTAATCATGCTTAGGTCTATTTCTGGGCTTTTTACACTGTTCCATTGGTCTGTTCTTTGGGTGCTAATATCACACTGTCTTAATGACTTTATTACACTTAAGAATCTGCTTGAGCAATTGTTCCTTATTGGTTTTCTTTTGAAAAACTATTCTCACAAGTTTATTTTATTTTTAAAAATAGACGTTGTTTTTTAGAATTGCTCTAAATTTGTGTAAAAATTGGGAAAATAATACAGAGAGGTCTCACACACTCTACACAGTTTTCCCTATTATTAACAGCTTATATTAGTATGGTACTTTTGTTACAATTGCGAATTTGTTTTTTGAAGTATACAGCAGAAACATTTTCTCTGGGGGGGAAAATTTGAATTCTGTTTAGAATTGTAATATATTGTAAATAAAGTCTTTCATTTGTTACCCAACAGCTGTATATTGAATACTTATAATGTGCCAGGCATTGCTGACAATACTGGGAACCCTTATGGACCTTATCATGTGGGAGGGGGCCTTTTCTAGGTAGAGGGTGATGATATATTATATACCAACACCATTTTAAGTCTTCCTGCCTAGGTATGTGTCTCCACTTATTCAAATCTGTGTTCTTTTCTCTTGTCTGCTCTTGTGGGTTGAGTACCTAAGTCCCACAGTACCTGAGGGCCCTGCCTTTGCTCCAAACTGACAAGGGCAGGGGAACCAGAACAGGCAGCCCAGCAAACCTACAGTTAAAGGCACCTAGAAAGTCTGAAAATCTGCAACCTGCAGATGCTTGACAGGGTTGGCTGACAGTGCTGATCTGCTCAGGCTTTCTTTGAAACTCCTCACAGGGTATTGTGTGAGTGATCTGGCTTGAAGAAAGGTGCAGAATCTGAGCAGTGGGGGAGGTTGTGTTTAGGTTAAAAAAAGAAGTTATCAAAATGCCAGTTGTTGGATTGGCCTGCAGACGTGACTTGTTTGATTGGCATGGTAGTCCACATTTTGAATTAGCTATCAATACTGAAAAATCAGGATTTCACCCAAAAGCTCCCAAATTCCAGCTTTTCTAGAAAAACCAGAGATTTCGTAAGACTTGCTCTGCCTCTCAAACCCGCGCACTTGGCAAGAGCCCAGTAGCAGGGGTGCCGTTTAGCTAACTGCCTGTTACCTCTCCCAGACTGAATGTTTCAGTCATGTTTTACTATGTGTATGCATCATTTTTTCTTCTAGAAGATTTAAAAGAAAATGAAATCTTCCTTCCACCCAGCCCATGTCACTCACTTGCATGACCACCGCTTGCCCCTTGTGTGCATCTGATTTCATGGCTGTGGGGTCAATTGGATGGTGTCTTACTTCTGCTCACCTTTCAGGTCTCAGTGGGGATGACCCCTAGACTAGCAAGATCAGGCTCCCCTGCTGGCTAGGCCTTCATGCAGTCCTCAGATGTTATTGTAATTATTTGTTCCATAGCTGCTTTCCCTTGCTAGACTGCAAGCTTCATGGGGTTAGGGCCTATGTCTTGGTCATAGATATGTCCTCAGCCTCTACCCTTAAGTCTGGCCTTTAATAAGTGCTCATTAAATATTCAGTGAATGAATGCAGGAGTCTTGTGTCCTTGGCTGTCTTTCTTTGCTCCTGAAATGGTGGTTCTCATCCCAGGCCTGCAGAACGATCACAAGGCAGTAATGAAGCAGGTGGAGGAGGCCCTGCATCAGCTCCACGCTCGTGACAAGGAGAAGCAAGCTCGGGACATGGCTGAGGCCCACAAAGAGGCCATGAGCCACAAAGTGGGCCAGAGTGAGAGGCACAGCCCTCTTCAGGCCTTCGCCAAAGTGAACAGCATCAGCCCTGGATCCCCAGCCAGCATTGCGGTAATCCAGGGCCCAGCCACCCAAATGCACACCCAGGGGACATTGTGGGTCAGGTAGCCTTGCAGTGGGGGTGGGGCTGGGGGAGTGGGAAGACCTGAATTCATTTACTTATTCAGCATACACTTACTGAGGTCTGCTGTGTACAGGGGGCCAGGGTTTCAGAGAGGTTAGCCCTGCTGCCCACTAAACAGGTGGGGAGGATGCCTGTTCCCAGTGACGACTGGGTCACAAGACGGAAGGTGATAAATGTCCCAAGAGAGGAAAAGAGGATCTCTTCTTGGGGCTCATTTTAGCTGNAAAAAAAAAAATAGCTGCCATTTGCTGTAGGTGTCCTGCCAGATGAGTTATACATCTTACCTGGCATATTTAAAAAAATAACAGCATTATTGAGATATAATTCACATACCATAAAATTTACCCATTTAATATATACAATCAGTGGCTTTTAGTATATTCACAGAGCTATGCGTCTGTCACCACAATCAATTTTAGAACATTGGCTGGCCAGTTAGCTCATTTGGTTAGAGTTCAGCCTTTTTACCAAGGTCACGGGTTCAGATTCTGGTGCCAGCCAGCTACTGAAACAAACAAACAAAAAGGATAAAAAATTTTTTTAACAATATTTTCACTGTCCTAGAAAGAAACCCTGCACTACCTTGGCATCACCCCCTGATCTCCCATCTCCCCTAGCCCCTGACAACCACCAGTCTCCTGTCTGTCTCTGTGGATATGCGTATTCTGAGTATTTCATACAAATGGAATCATACATTATATGTCTGTCTTCTTTTACTCGGCATAATTTCAAGATTCATCCATGTTGTAGCATATATCAGTACTTCATTCCTTTTTATGGACAAAAAATATTCCATTGTATAGATAGACCACATTTTGTTTATCCATTCATCAGTTGATGGACATTTGGGTTGTTTCTACCTTTTGGCTACCATGAAGAGTGCTGCTGTGAACATTCGTGTACATGT